AAGAAGGAAAATAAGTTATTTTCTATGCTTTAATCTACCAATATTTTCAAGGACATTATGCAGCTTTTCTCCTAATATATTTTCAGCACAGCACTTATCATTGTTTGCCGTATAAACAAAGAAAAGTATGACAAATATGGTGCATTCCAGTTATATTGTCTTTAAATCTAATTTTTAAAGATAACATTTGATTTTTTTTTCATTACAATGAATTCAAACTAAATGAGAACCTGCACCAAGTAGAAGCAAGAGTCAAACACAGGAAGAAGAAGCAGGCTGAACAGACTGCTCAAGGGTAGAGCTACTTCCATGCATGATATTAGCAGAACTCACCCTAAAGGGCAGAGAGCCACAGAATTCAGGACCCAGGACCCCTCTAAAGAACATAGGATGCCCTCAAGTTTTAAGAGTGTTGTCACTATGCTACTAGAAAAGCCATGCTAATTATGTGATTTATGGTGAATACCTTATACCAGAAGGTATCAGCTCAAGCAACTATGGAGGGTGCAGAGGCTAAGTTTAGAGACATGTGCATGACCAAGTCTTTTTTTTTTTTTTTTTTTTCCGGAACGGGGAGTTGAACTCAGGCCCTTGTGCTTGCCAGAGAAGCGCTTATTCCACTGAGCCATCTCCCCGGCCTATATGACCAAGTCTTATGAAAGTCTCTGCACCCCAAGAATTTAGTGGGTGATTTGGTTGGTAACACTTCATGGATGTTGCTCAGTGACACCAACATTACTCTCGCAACTCCGCTGGAAGCCCCACATCTCCTCAAATCACTTTTGTTGTGACTGGCTCTAATCCATATCATGTAACAGTGACTATAACCAAATGGTCACATAGTATGAATCTAAGTCAGACCTTGAATCAATTCTCAAGAGAGACATAGGAGGCCCCCACCTCTTACTTCAACATATGCCCTACTCCATCACAACCCATACATTGGGACAATATGGCTGTTTGAAGGATCAGAAGCAGAGTATGCCACATTTTTCCATATGGAAAGCATACAGCACTCAAGGATCTGAAAACACTGCCTCTGTTTATTACTGTCTTTTTCAGAAGGATTTAAAATGTCATTAGAAATGAACATTATAAACAGCCATGGGGGTCACAATCTACCGTTACTCCCCTGGGCCTGCAAAGTGTCATGGATGTGATTGCGCTGAGTCTGTGCTTCAGCACATTTGATATTTTCTGAGCCGCAGTATGATCCATAGTGGGCGCTAACTGATTTCCCTTGGCAATTTGCAAGTTCATCCGTAAGGGAAAAGGACAATTTCCACATAACCTGTGCAGTCTGAGTGAAAGAGTCTGAGAAGCATTATGTTCTCTAATTCTTCAGAAGTTCCAGAAGAGGCCTGGTGGCAGGATTGGGTCACACATTTGGGGTTTGAGAGTGTTTATGAGTTTACAGTCTGCTTTCACTTTACTGTAAGACACAAATATTAGTGTATAGGCAAGGTAAAATACTTCATTGATAATCACAGCAAAGAATGATATAAAAAAACAAGTCCAAAATAAATCTTAAAAGATATGGGGTTGCGTGATGTTTGAAGAAGTTTAGAGAAAGCATCTTTCATTGTAGCCACCAATCTGCATCTGGAATGACACCCAGTGCTAACACAACAATTTGACTTTTCTGAGGATAATGCAAAGCTCAGTGACACATAGACACAGATGACATTACTTTGTTTAGACTTCTAAAGGGCACTTCATATAGTACTGGAAATAAAAAGCCATTTTGAAATGCAGTCTCTTGGGGTTGTCGAAATCAAACAAAGTGCATTGAAAAGTGCTTAAAAGAAAGATATAAAGCACCTAGACTTTGTGGTCAGTCCAAGGCACTTTCCTTCAAGGCATTTGTTAATTTTTTATATACACATTGATCAAATATCTATCATTTTGAACCCTTTCTGCATGAGGATAATGGTATCTCTCTGTGCTGAAGTCAGGAAGGGACTCACTGATCAGATAAACAGGCAAAAGAGGTAGCTTAGTTCCTGGGATCCCAGTGTTCCTTGTTTTATTTGCTGCTTACAGACAGGACTCAACAAAGCCATTGTTCATTAGTGAAAGGACTGTGTGCACGCAGATCTGATTGCATCATGACCCTCAGGCCCTTTAAGAGATTGGGCTCAGAGCCGCTGGGTCCTCTTCTGTACTCAGATATAGGCCTATCACAGAAACCAGCCACCTGTGCACCTGGGGAAGACTCTCCTCTATACTATAAGGTGTGTGACATTCCCATGACCTCACATACAATGGCGGGCTCTGTTATGCCTCTAAAGTACAAATGTTCCCTGCCTTTTCAGCCTGCAATAGAGGATGTCCAAAGCCTTGAAAGCATACTACAGTGACCTAGTGACTTAGAGGGAAAAACTGAAATGAGCTTTGTTTTAGGTCAAGTTTTCATGGGAACAGAGATAGGTAAACCATCACAGATCAAAACATAGTCATCTGGCTTATTTGTGGCTTGCCCCCTGATTTCCCACTGACAGCAGAGCTGAATCAGCAAGCCTAAGTCTGTGCCGGCTACAAAGTCCAACCACTAGAGTATTTGTCATCTCACCCTGTAACCTATTGGAAAGTTTACTCATCTATGTTCTGCAATATAAGCACATGTTTCAAAAGGATTTTTTTTTTCTAATTTTAGTACCGGGAATCAAACTCAGGACCTTGAGCTTGCCAGGTAGGCCCTCAGGCTGCTGAGCCATTCCCCAACCTCTCAGAAAGAGTAAAAATAATTACTTCATTGATAGTTTTGCAGTAGGTATATAAATGATACTTAGATGATAGATATACTATACAAATGGACAATGTATGTATACAATATATGTGTAATTTACAAAAGACACATATGTACAACTGTGGCTATTTCCATTAGATTACAAATAAAGTAAACTAAGTCACTCCCCAAAACCCAACAAAAAACCTAGGTATTTAAAAATTATTCTTGTAAATTTATGAAGAATATGATAATTCAATTTTCAGATGAGAAAATAAAAGACAATAGTATATAAAATAATATATGAAATAAAATTTTGATTACTTAAAATATGTTAGTTTTAGTTCTTACAGTAAAAAATAGAATATGTGGCATGGTGCCTTATTTTCTTCCTTCTTCCTCCTTGCCCACCCTATCCACCTCCCTCTCCCCTGCTCCTCTCCTCCCTCTGATTTAATATAGCACTTCTCTTATGATTTGGCACAATTTCTCTCTCTAACAGGAACTTAAGATTTTGGATCTATTAGCAGTGCATACATTATTTATTAACTTGCATCAGGAGTAATCTTGCAGTTGGCAGGCTCAGAAAGCTGCAGAAAATGATCATACCACTGCCGTAGCCTGCATCGCCTCTCAGCAGTCCATGACAGATAAAGACATTGAAAAGGCAGCTTCCCTTCCTGACATTTGTGTATGGAAAATATAACAAATGGTTTCTTTCATTTACCATTTCCCCTCTGTCCATGAAGCAATAACTTGTGCATTAGTGTGAAGGCTTATAAATACATAAACATTAATCTAAAATGCTCAGCAGGCTCAGAAGAATTATTATAATATGTCAGTGAGGAGGAAATGCAAAGGTATCCCGAAACCCGAGGGGCCATGCTGTAAACTTTGGCAGGTGGTCCATAATGATCAATCATGGCATCATTGTTAGGTTACACAGTTCACCTGTGATAACCGATGACAACAGAAGTTATTCTCAGCACTGCGCCTGCAACCACACTACTTGTTTTATGAGCCTACTATATTCTTTAGGGAGCAGTAAGAAACATACACATTTGGGACTTCATTTGCAACACATGACAGCTGTCTGGAGCAAGTGGTGTATCAGATAAACTGAGACTGTGTGTGTGACAGGTGAGGATGGATATGGGGTAAGCACCCTGGCTCGAGCCGGGGATGACAATGTAGGAGACACAGGGAGAAAAACCCAGCTGAGAAATGGTTGAAAAAGGACAGACTGTATTTCAGGCCAAGAAATGAAATTATATAAGGAAAGACCAATGAATTTAGATAGAATGTTTTCTCTTTTTTATTTTCTTGTTACTGGGAATCAAACTCAGGACCTCACTCATGCCAAGCAGGTGCTTTGTCCCTGAGCTACACCCCCAGCCCTGGAATATTTTCTCCCCAAGAGTAAAGATACAGTTCAAATTTTCCATCTAATTGTTGTTTCTCAGCATATCACCTATTTCATTAAAGTAACAGGAACACAGTTGACCCATATGACTGATATGTATAGACAGCTCTCTTTGGCTAGCTTTCATACAAAAATAGTAAAAGGTTATTTTGTCTCATTATCTTGTTTTACTCTCATTTTGGCATTAAACACAAACAAGCATGGCACAAAAGCTGAATGCATACTTAGAGTCTTTGGAAACAGACAATAGTGGAAAATGAATCCTACTTTTAAGGAGGTAGCTTAAATTTTAGTCTGCTAAGTATAATTTAGATTTGACATTATATAAAAATGCTTTCATGATTCATGGGGTTTTTAGAAGCTGGTTACCTTAGTGATTTTATTTATCTTCTGATACTGTCTGATGGTTGAAATATGCTTGGGCACACCTGCTGGCACTTGCTAGTTTCAAGCTAGGGAAAATTAAAAGCAAGTTGCTTCTAAGATATTGAACTTTGTATTTGTTTCCCATTTTTGGCTAGTGGAGCTTAAATAATATAAGTAATCTCATTTTAAGGTTTTTGTCTTAATATTTAGAGAAGCCTCACAGGAAAATCAGCACACTTACTTGTGTAATTTTAAATATAGATGTGCATAAATCTGTGCCCTACACATGTGCACTCACACAAACACACAAACATCTTTATAAAAGTATGTTATGCTATGAATCCAGATGCTAAATCACACAGTGATAAAGAAGGATTTATGGTATAGAAGGGAAACCTAGCCTGGCATGGTGACACATGTGTGTAATTCCAGAATCCTGGGAGGCGGAGTCATGAAAAGCACAAATTTGAGCCTGGAATAAACATCTGAGGGTCTCACATTCTGTCTCAAAATAAAAAAACAAAAATGGGTTCGACATGTAGCTCACTATGAAATGCCTGAGTTCAATACCCAATATGAAAAATAGAAAAAGATGGAAGGTGATTTATAAGGGGCAATGAACTCAGATTGTATATTTACACTTAAAGGAAATCTATTAAATGGTAAAAAATTTTCATTA